TCCCAAACGTTGGTCATGTTGTTCACTCCACAACAGACCTTATACACCAGTAACGGTGGAGGTTCCGAATCAGATGGCTTCACCCAGTTCGGGAACAACATACGTTGATCCGCCTGACGGAAAAAATTACCCACTTTTAATCGACCAACCCCAAGAGCTTACCTCCAGCCACAAGTACTGATCTAAATACGCGTCCGTGATTTTCTCCAGAGGATCTATGTCGTATATAGGTACCAGATACAAGTACTGATCGTTGAACTCAATCGAGACCTCCTTAAACGCCCTCATAGTTAGCAAGTGCCTCTTGATACGCGATAAGGCTTCATGAGGATTATCGTACGCTTGCTCGATTAGCGACAACTCCTCCCTGAGAGAGAAAAAATATATACAATTTCGTGGCGCGCGACATTTTCTCACCTCTGTGTTTGATTGAGCCTAGCCTTCGCAGCATAGTTCTCCTTGAGCCTCTCCAACGCTAAGATGAGCAGCTTAGTATCATGCTTGTAGTTTAACGGTGGGAAGGGGATGGGGGAGAACTTCCGAGACTCCAACCAATGCACCGTATTAGTGTAAATAGCAACACCGTCTTCACCACTGATATAGGGTCCATCCTTACGGTAAGCATGTTGCCTTTCTTGTTCATTTTTCAACCACAACCTCGTGAGCCTTCCCAGATTCTTCTTACATAGCGTCTTGTCCACAGTAGCACCCCTCTTAATACGCTCTCTATTATAATAAGTAGAGTTCGTCCACCAATCAGCTTTTGCCTTCACATATTTCAGTATCATATTCTCGATGGGTGCAGCCAGCCCGGGCACTTTCCACGGCACGTTAGCCTTCCAACACCTCCAAGCCTCTGAGAGATGTTGCAAAATCGTTCGCGCCTTATTCGCCTTAACGCTCTCCGGCATCATATCGAGTATGTCATGCATAACCGCCGCCCTCAACTCCAAATCAAAATGCGCTTCAACTCTCTGTTTAGTAACAGTCTTAGCGATACCCTTCGTAACGCGCCCCTCAAATTGCCTTGCGAGCAGATTAGATAACCACCTCTCCAGCAAAGGGACGATACCTCTTAGGAAGAACAACCACACACGCCACATAG